CACTTCCACGGACACGCTGGCCGTGGCGGAGAGCGAAGGCGAGCCTGCGTCGCGTGCGGTCACTACCAGAGCATAGTCCGACACGCTCTCTCGGTCCAGGGCGCTGTCCAGCACCAGCGAATAGTAATTCTTGAAGGTGGACACCAGCTTGAAAGGGATATGAGGCATCAGAGAGCAGGTCACCTGCCCATAGACACCGGAGTCACGGTCGGACACGGAGACAAAGGCGATGACGGTGCCAAGTGGAGTGTCCTCTCTGACCGGCAAAGACAGAGGTGTGATTGCCAGTTGTGGAGCATTGTCATTTACATCCAGCACTTTCACTAAAACCTTGCAGTGATTCGACATTGGAGGATTTCCTTTATCGACTGCTTTTACCTGAATTTCATAGGATTTTGTTTCTTCATAATCCAGTCTACCAATTAGCCTAATTTCTCCTGAGCTGGAATCAATTTTGAAGTTTTTTTGAATGTTTAGAGGAACATCACTGCCAAAGGAAAAAACAATTTCTCCATTTACACCTTCATCGGCATCAGAGGCGTTTAATGTAGTCACTAATGTTCCATTTGCTGTACTTTCTAATAAATGGACTCTGTACACAGCCTGGGCAAACAATGGGGTATTATCATTAACATCCAGCACTGTGATCAGCAGCTGAACTGTACCTTCCAGCTCTGGTTTGCCCCCATCAGTGGCTGTCAATAATAAATGAAGTTCTGGTGTTTCTTCTCTATCCAAAGATTTCCTCAATTCAAGTGAAAGTGACTTACTGAGTTCATCACTTGCCTGTACATCCAAAGAGAAATAATCGCTGGGGCTGAGGGTGTAAGTTAGAAGAGCGTTGGTACCAATGTCCTCATCAGCAGCGCCCTCTATCGGGAAACGTGAATCCACCAGTCTAGATTCAGGAATAAATAACCTTTGTTCTCTTGCTCTGAAAACCGGTGGGTTATCATTAATGTCCTTCACCTCCACCACCACATGGAAAACCTGCAGCGGCCTGTCCACGATCACCTCCAGGTGGATGCTGCACTCCGCGCTCCGCCTGCACAGCTCCTCCCGGTCGATCCGAGAATTCACAAACAAAATGCCATTCTGCAGATTTACCTCCAGAAGGTCCCCGTGGCCTTTGGACGCCACCCGGAAAAGGCGCGGCACCAGCTCTGCCAGCTCCAGCCCCAAGTCTTGGGCAATGCGGCCCACGAAGGTGCCGTGTTTGGCCTCCTCGGCGACCGAGTAGTGGACCTGACCACTCCCAATCTTCCAGGCTGCGAGGAGCAGAACGGAGAGCAACAAACGCAGGGCTCCCTTGCCTCCTTGCCTAGGAAACAGCATCGCAAAACCACTAAAAATTTGGTACCGCTTTCTCACTTCAAAGTCATACTCTGTTTACTTTATATCTTGAATAATATATCTCCTGGCCGTTTTTGTCTTCTCTCAGGCTGTGACAAAATGGAGGTTCCTCCTTTAGTTTTTGGTGACAAGACTTTGTGGTATACAGCGACATCATGTGGCTAATGGTGTAGATTTGAGATTCATTCACTGATTTCCAAAAGTCTATATATTCATTTGCAGTTTACTCAATGCAATCATTTTCAGTTATGTCTTTTAAAGACTGGTACACTTCAAATCTCACTTATTCTTAAAATGAAGCAAATTCAGAATTTGGAACTTTTAAAAATACCAGTAGATTTAGGCAATACTGTTAATATTTTAATATGCAAGGTACTTTAATGTACAGATTTCCTTTTATGTATTTTATTACTATGAAGAATACATAGAATAAATTCTAACCACAATTTCCTGGCATTCAAATATTTCAAACATAAAACTGTTGACTTAAATATACTTTGTTTTCTACAGTTAAAAACTTATTTTACCTTTTATAACATATCTATATTTAACTGAAAACTATATAATTATCAAGCTTTAATTTTGAAAACTACAATCTTTATAATTTCAGCTATATTGTAATGTTTCATCCTCTTTATTTTTATGAAAATTGTTCAATTTGAATATATTCTCAATATAGAAAAATGTCATTTACAACGATCAGATGACACTTAATTGAAACTTAAAACAATAATCATGGACTACATTATCATCATTATGATTATGAAAATAAAAGGCTACACAATACTATCTTCAAGGGAAAAATAAACAGGAGTATAATGCCTGGAAAATTTGTTATCAGAGCTGTTAAAATAGCAGAGTTAAAGTTAAGCTGGTATAAACTCAAATTAGAGTGTGATAACTTTAAGATATTAAACGCAATGTCCATGGTAACCACAGAGCAAATAGCTATAGAATCTGAATAGATACAGGGTGCTTGGGTGGCCCAGTCAGTTAAGCTCAGACCATGATTTCATGGGTGGTGAATCTGCAGAATGGCATTTTGTTTGTGAATGCTCGGATCGACCGGGAGGAGCTGTGAATGGAAAGAAC